CTTGCCCTTCCTTTCTGAAGCGGCACAGAGCAGCCGAGACGCCGCCAGCTCCACGGAGGCGGCATTCGCAAAGGTCACCAAGGCATCACCTTTGCACCTGGGTGAACCGCAACAAACAAGAACGCTACAAATATAGAACGCTACTAGGGGCTCCTGGCCTGACTACTAGGAACCAGGACGCTACTAGTAACAAAGGGCATCGCTACTAGGAGAAAGCACGCTACTAGTAGCTCCTGGCATTACTACTACGAACAAGGACGCTACTAGTAGCAAGGACGCTAGTAGGTGGAGACCATCGCAAGTAGGTTGGAGGCCATCGCTACTAGTAACAAGAATGCTTTACAAATTGTCCTAGAAGCAATGGCCTAGACGCGATGGCCTCCAACCTACTATACAAGGCCCAGCGAAGATGGCACATTTGGAAACAGGTGAACAGTCTTGAACTTTTGCAGCAAACTGCCACAAGAAGCCTTTGAATATGAAGTGATAGCATAGCTACATACATGTAAGACCACTGTCTACGAAAAAAAAAAGAAAACACCTTCGGAGAACCCCTCTGAGGTCAGGTCTTTCCATCAGAACCAGCGTACACACGAATCTTGCTTGCGCAAGTTTCCATGTCCAACTGGAGACGGGAGACAGCAGTCTGGTCGAACGACGAAGATTCTTTTGGATGTCATGACAAGTTGGAACTTTTGGAGAGCTGGATGGGCTTGGTGATTTCATGAAATTGGAAAGGCCATGAAAGGACTAAGATGTCCTGTCGAACCTTTTGAAAGATCGGCATAGCCTTGCAAAGCCTTCCCGCCTTCAGCACCCCAGCTCGCTTGAACAAAGGTTCCAGCTCCTCGCTTGAACGACTGGAAGCCACAGGCTGAAACAGCGCCGAAGACGACGGTCGATGTGGCGCCCTTGTCACTCCTGAGCAGTGACGTCTGGTGGCCTCAAAGTGAAGGCGAGGCGCCGTCGTTCATATTTTGTGGGCAAGAACGAAAATGGGGTGTCTCTAAGCTCAAGCTCGACTCAGCTTCAAATATGAACTGGTGCTCGGCTGAGCTCGATGTCCATCCCCCTGAGTCCCCCTGCAAACCCGAGACATAGACATTGGGGTTTTCCTGCAGAGCTCCAGCTGTGGGCCAAGCGGAGCTCTGAAAATGCGAGTTTTTCACCATGTGCTCAGTGAATCCGTATAGGTTGGAGGCCATCGCTTTAACTGCTGTGTTTCTCACCGTGCGCTTAGTGAATCCGGATCTTTAGGATCTTCGGATGTCTGCTTCGCTTGGCAAAGCTGAGCTCGAAACACTCCGTGCCCTCTATGAGGCGAGAGTCTCAGAGAGGATATGATTAGGATGACAGCTTCTGATTTCTGGTGCGCCAAGTATCTCTGGCTAAATCACTTACCTTTGCCTCAGAGGCTCGGATTAAACACTGAAAAGGCTCAAGAGGGGTAGGAGGTGAAAATGCCCATTCATTTTTGCAACATCTTCTGGCGAGTATCCAAAGTCCTCAGATATAGAACAGCAAGGCCTGCCTTTCTGGTGTGCGATAGGCAAATGTAAAGGGTCATCTTAAGTGTAAACAGACTGAAACCATTGCCTTGTACAAATGGCTCACCGGAGATGCCTTACAGCATGCAGCCACAAACAACTTTACTGACTTTACTTGACTTTGTTCGGCACCTCTTTTAACTGACGGGGGCAGCAGACTAGCAATGGCCTCCAACCTAATAGCGATGGCCTCCAACCTTCCATCTTCTCTCCAGTCAAGGGTCATTGGAATTCAGATCTGCTTCAGCCTCCAGCAAAAGCCGCGTGAGTTCCATGTCTCCTGTCCAGGCCACCTCAAGTAGTGGCGTGGCTCCTGGCATCATAGCAAAGGCCTTGTAGCTGAGTGGAGAGGACTCGCCCATGCAGCTCATGTAGGCCTTAAGCTCACTGGTGACTGGAGAAATCTAGACCTGTCTTCATCCCTCTACACCTGTCTCTCGTTGTCTTCCACAAAGGCAAAACACAGGGTGAAGCTCCCTGACTTCATCCAGACCCCACCTGGGCAGCCAAGGTAATCCACCGAATGCTGCCTGACGGTCGAGTCTCTGCGTTGACGTCGGCCCGATGCTCGATCAACAGCTTCGCGATCTGCACGGCGTCTGGGTTTCCTCTGGCAAAGAAGACCGCATGATGTAGAGGGGTATGGCCAAGTCCTCAAGCGGGACAACTTGCAACACATGGCAATGCTATAAGCCCTCAGCCCTCCCAATTCTCCGGTTTGCATCGTCGACTGTCAGGCTCTTTAAGGTGGGTTTGAGCAAAAAATCAACAACCAAAGTCCCAAACCGAGCGTTTTCAGGGCACAACCATCCAAAATCGGACCAAATAAACACACATAAACCATAAAACATCACAAAAGGCAGGAGAAAACGACGAAACGAAACGAACTTTGGGCCTCTTGTGGGTGGGTTGACATCACCCTTGGCTGCCAGCATGGCCTTCAGGGTGCCGATGCGGCCCATGGCAGCGGCTGCTGCCACAGGCGACAGGAAGATGGGGCCGGTGGTCTTGTTCACGTCGCCACGAGCCGTCAGGAGGAAATTCACCTGAAGCCAGACCAACCGTCCGTCTCCCCACCTAGCGGACGGGATTCCCTCTAACCTAAACGGCTGAAGCGGCTTCAGCGCCATTGAGTGGTGTTGAAAGTTGAATGCTGAAGTGACTCAGCGTGACAACATGGTGTCATTGAACACCCAATGTCCCAAATATCAAGTCTCACAGGTGTGCTGTTCAGCAGGCGGCCTGACGGCCTTGCAAAGTCTCCGTCTTGTCTTGTCTTGGCCGGGTAACTTGTTCGGGAGTGCGGAGAAAGTGGGCCAGCCCAGCTCCACTGGGAGCAACAGCATGGATGTCCGCCCGGAGCTCAATAAGTGTTGCTAGCAGTTCAGGCTTCTGTCCTGAGAGTGCCAAGCCCAGATGTTCAGCGTTCTTGCTCCTAGTAGCGATGCCCTTTGCTCCTAGCAGCGTCCTTGCTCCTAGTAGTAAGGCCAGGAGCCCCTGGTAGCGTCTTTGCTCCTAGTAGCGATGCCAGGAGCCCCTAGTAGCGTTAAGTCAAGGGCAACAATTTACCAGAATGGAAGATACATGAAGAGTCTTCTGTCCCGACTGTTCAGTCGAGGATCGTGTCTTTGCAGCCACCATCAGAAGTGTTTGACCATCAAAGTATCCCAACTGAGCCAAATCTTTGACTCGAAAATTCACGTCAGCTCGGTGGTTCGCCAGTGCCCGGATAATTCCAGAGTCACCTGCTAGAACAGCACAAAGCATCGCGTTCATACAATGCACGTCCTGCAGGCTGCTCAAAGCAAAGCAATTTCATGATACACCCTATCGATCTGCTGAGTTTCCCTAAAAATCTAGGAATCAAATCAGTGGTGCGAGCGCTTCTTCAAGAAAGCTCCCCCCGGCCTTGGGCAGGGGGAGCTTCCTTGAAGAAGCGTGAGCTGAGCTGCGTCCATATGTAGCTTCCTATCGCTACTAACGTGTTTACTCAAATTAAGTAGGCACCTACCTAATTATATAGGTCTGCTGTGTCGATCTCCTTCACACAGGAGTCAAGGCTTTCGTAGCGGAAGTTGTCCAAAAAGCTCGGCACATTCCACGAGGATGCATGCCCCAGCAACTTGCCTTCACAAGCCAACCTAATAGCAAATGAACCTAGTAGCAATGGCCTTCAACCTAACAGCAAACCATATCAGGTCTTTCTTCCTTTTCTATTTTCTTTGTTTCTAATAGCGATGGCCAAGAGCAACTTGCCTTCACAAGCCTTGTAGAATCTGTATAACCATAGTGGTCCCGCTGTCGACCTTTGCTCTCAGTGACTGCTCGGGACAAAAAAATGCAAGGCTCCTGAATTCTTGAATCAGTCACCCCACTGAAACTCAAAGCAGTACTCAAGTCAATCAAGCCAAGTAGACAAGTGATGGATCTTATTCTTCACCGCACGCTCTCCCAGCTTTGCAACCACGTCCCGATCTTCTGGCACGGTGAAGTCACCATCAACAATAGAGTTCTCTTGCCAGTCAAGAGGAAACATCAGTCTCACTTCCTGAGAAACGAACTACATGGATCACCGTGCGGATCACCCCGTTCATTTCAGGGTGCAATCTTCGCATTTGGAGAGATCAAGCTCCACAGGATGTGCCACCAAGGGACCACACAAGAGTGTGCGAGGATCACGCTGGTGTCGGGTTTATGAGAAAGCAAGTGACACCAAAGCTCTGCACGGCACCAACCTGGAAGTTTTTTGGAAGTATGCAGTTTCCAAGTTCATATGCTTTCTGTTGTGAAAATGAAATTGAAGCTCGCCTCGGGAGAGCCAGCTCGTGTAGTTGCAGCTAGCACCCGACTCATGTTGTGCTTCAGGTACTAGGGCGACAAAGAGGTTGGAGACCTAAGTGCATCGCTACTAGGAACACGTGCCACGCTAGTAGTAACAGGTGCCTTACTAGTAGTAACAAATAAGCTACTAGTAACAAGTGCATCGCTACTAGTAACAAGTGCCTTACT